TGTTTCCTATTTATTGGATGATAGGGGTGTGAGGGGGTTCTCCGCCAGGCGATTGTGCTATTCTTGAAGCTCAATGACTGCATTTCTTGCGTTTTCTGAAGCAAATTCGTAAAATAATTGCACTAACATTTTTGACAATTCCCTATTTCGCCAAGGCAATCCTTTAAATTGAAAGGGCACCTCTGCTCCACTTGCCCCTCCTGGTAAAGGGCAACGGGGACGGCTGTTTCCTCCTCCCCCCCCCCCAGTTCCAGCGTCCCTGATTTCAATGTATTGAACTAAGTCATGGTGCACAAAAGATTATAAAGCAGCAATAACTGCAAGATCTTCTCTACTGTACAACATTTGAGTTCTAATATTCTAATTCTACTTCTTTGGCATGGAGCCTATATGAATACCTTCAATGCGGCAATGCCTATAACCTCTTGCTTTTGTATGTATATTTATAATACTGTCAGTGGTACATGAAGCTAGCCCATAGCAACTGGTTATACTGTGCAAGTTTTTAATGATTAGCATTGCAGGTTTATTAGCATATTGCATGAGTGAGCATGACCAGTTGCCATGGCTAGCTTGCCTGATCCACAGTACCATATGTATAAACAATAATACTTGAATAAATCATTGGACATGTAGAATTTAATAACAATTTCATATTTAGAAATACTAAATCAGTTTTTGTCCCAATTATCATTTTAATGGCAACTTCAAGGCTACCCCTATCACAGAACAACTGAACATTCTGCTGACGGGGAGACAAAATCTATTTGTTGACATTTTTGTTTAATACGCCCAGCTTCAGATGACACCATTCATTTGTAATGACTAAGATTATACTCAGTCAGAACTGCAAACTATATAATAAGAAAGAAATTGTGAGCGTTATCGAAAAATATAGTATACCCTGAAATATAGTGACACAGCCTGGTGAATATCATACTATGCTAACAATGGACATATCTCAGAGGTATATTTTGACAGACCATCATACCTTACAAAAGTTGGTTGACAACTTGACATGTTATTACATTTTAAAGATGTGGTACAATCTGTATGTAAACAAAGACTTTGTTTTACATTTTGGTATCCAAAATATAGAATTTTATTTGACAACTTATCTTTTCATGATTCTAGAGTATAATAAATTATCAAGACACAACAATCAAGCTTTGTAAGAACATAAAATAAAATCACAAATAAACTGTTTGTATATAAAAAGAGGGCTCCTGAGTGTACATGCCCAGATCGGGCTGTATCACATCTTCAATATGTGCAGACAACAATCCTCATAGCCATAGGTGCATTTATTTAGTATGTATGACTATGTTTTAATGTTTTGGGCTAGTATAGCAAGGTATAAAAGCGGAGTCAAAAACAGGGTCACAGAGACATTTCTCATTAGTGTACGAAAATATGACAATCGACTGTAAATACAGCTTTTAAACATTTAGTCTAGGACCTGCATATGAGTTTGTATGCGTTTCATTTAGCACAGGTAATCTCAACTGTTTTAGGGTAAAATGACCATGGCGGTCAACATGGCATATGTGCCAAAAGCTGAATCCGGGACGAAAGTCCTGAAAATGACCCCGCCCTGAAACGGCAGTGTCGACATAGCTCTAACTTCAGAAAACAAAAAGCGATAGTCTTTCTGAAGTGCTTATAGTGTTTAGAAGGGTTGCTTTTAGGGGTGGTCATTGGAAGAAAAATTTGTCCAAGTATAATATTTTACAAGAAAATGACCATGCACCACCCCAGGTAAATTGCTGATTATGCATAAAATAACTAATATGCCTGGCAGAAATTAAATATTCTTATTTCCTAAAAAAAATTATCATGGGGTTAAAAACTATGCTTAATTTAATGTAAATATTGTTGATTTCATAAGGATTGTCATTGTTTTCTTTAAATATAATAAATTTTATTTCACTTACCCCCCACGAAAACGCGATTTCAGCCATATTTTGCTGTCTTGTTTGCTTTTTATCGCCGAATCACGCAAATATCATCCAGTTATTGTACTTTTATATAATCATAAATGGCTGAAGAAGATTTCAAAGAAGGTTTCATCCACTTTTGAAACAGTGCAGTGTATTTTATCTTCGATAATGTGTCCTTCGATATCTCGTCAAATTGCCGCCATTTTAATGGCTCGCCGCTTCTCTGCCCGATAAATGCCACTTCTTCGTTTTCATATGTATTTAGATTACATTATCCAAGAGTACTTCATTGTAGAATAGTCCCAATACAAAAATTGGAAATATTATTTGTACTTGGGAGGAAAAAACCTCCCAGTACAATTGCCCTGTTAGAATTCAAAAGAAATAATTTAAAAGTCACGCGCAAGTTCGCGAAAATACCTCGTGGGTTACATAACAGGGGGGATGAATATTTTCACGAAGCGTTTGTTCGCCACCACAGCAACCTAACTAAATGTATTATATTTTTTGTATTTTTATAATTGATGATAAATATACACAAATATTTATTGTTTTTATCAAAAATCACAAATATACAATAAATATAATGTACCTAACTTAGGTTGCTGTGGCCTGTGGTGGCGAACAAACGTTTCGTGAAAATATTCACCCCCCCTGTTATGTAACCCACGAGGTGTTTTCGCGAACTTGCGCGTGACTTTTAAATTATTTCTTTTGAATTCTAACAGGACAATTGTACTGGGAGGTTTTTTCCTCCCAAGTACAAATAATATTTCCAATTTTTGGATTGGGACTATTCTACAATGAAGTACTCTTGGATAATGTAATCTAAATACATATGAAAACGAAGAAGTGGCATTTATCGGGCAGAGAAGCGGCGAGCCATTAAAATGGCGGCAATTTGACGAGATATCGAAGGACACATTATCGAAGATAAAATACACTGCACTGTTTCAAAAGTGGATGAAACCTTCTTTGAAATCTTCTTCAGCCATTTATGATTATGTAAAAGTACAATAACTGGATGATATTTGCGTGATTCGGCGATAAAAAGCAAACAAGACAGCAAAATATGGCTGAAATCGCGTTTTCGTGGGGGGTAAGTGAAATAAAATTTATTATATTTAAAGAAAACAATGACAATCCTTATGAAATCAACAATATTTACATTAAATTAAGCATAGTTTTTAACCCCATGATAATTTTTTTTAGGAAATAAGAATATTTAATTTCTGCCAGGCATATTAGTTATTTTATGCATAATCAGCAATTTACCTGGGGTGGTGCATGGTCATTTTCTTGTAAAATATTATACTTAGACAAATTTTTCTTCCAATGACCACCCCTAAAAGCAACTCTTCTAAACACTATAAGCACTTCAGAAAGACTATCGCTTTTTGTTTTCTGAAGTTAGAGCTATGTCGACACTGCCGTTTCAGGGCGGGGTCATTTTCAGGACTTTCGTCCCGGATTCAGCTTTTGGCACATATGCCATGTTGATCGCCATGGTCATTTTACCCTAAAACAGTTTAGATTACCTGTGCTAAATGAAACGCATACAAACTCATATACAGGTCCTAGACTAATTGTTATTTCATGTCAATTTGGAAATGGCAAGCTGATTTTATCTCGTATTTAAGGTTTTTATTATAAAATCCTGTACATACGAAGTACCAAACAAAAACATACTTGTGAATAATATTGAGCTTAAAAGCGTGCAAATTTACATACCTCTAAACGATCTCCCTTTCTCACAAAACTTGAATTGAGGCCAGTAAATACGAAAAAGGTCTTTGCTTCGCTCCTTCAGTTAATATACGCTGGAAAGCTGGATCACAGAGTAGATAAGACATACAGAAACGTAACTGACCGTTGTAAACAATGCTGAAGATTACGTTATCATGTACCCACTTTTTTTCAGGCGACCGGGCGAAAAATGATCAACTGCGCGTGCTCAGCAAGTTTAAAGTGAGTCGTCATCAGGTCGTCATCCAATCAGATGCATGCATCTAGTAACTTGCCAAGCATGCGCACAAAAAAAGTGGGTACACTAGTTACGTCTCTGTATGTCTCTACTCTGTGGCTGGATATCGAAATATTTTTAAACGCCATTCTTGGTACGTCGTTCGCAGATCGCTGAACAAAGCATTCGGCAGTCATCGATTTGCTATCGTAAACTCCTGGGGTATGCTAATGCTCCAATGTAAATTCCTTACTGCTACGTCATAATTTGACGTCACAACTGCCGACAAACACTTGAACGACACAAAATCGAGATTCCCTTCAACTTTATAAAACTGTTGGCGGGAAATTTAAATGCGCTATAACACATCGTCAAGAATAGGAGGCTGCCTTCGGCAGCAAAAACAATGACATTTTTGCAGATCAATGACTAATGATAAAAGTGCCTACTAAAAATTAAAATAGGATAAGTTTTTTTTTTTGGGGGGGGGGTCATGGCCCCCATCTAGCCAAATCGCCAGGGGCCCCTTGAGGTAGTCAGTCCGCCCCTGTTTTCAGCTACACATTTTTGCTATGCGAAAAGACAGCTACAAAGGATTGAAACCCGTTATGGACTGTAAAATTCCCTATACATTGACATTGCTGAAACTCAACGATCAAGAATGAATATATCGAAGTATAGCTACAGTATCTGTTATCACACGAATGCCAAAACTCCTTCGGGCTCTGTGGGTAACCCGCATGCAGCCTCTGCCCGCGCCAGCCCTAACCCTACCTTAAAATAGGGAAGGAAGGAAAGAATGGCTTGCACAATGGCCTAAACTCGTGCACATGGCCGTAAATGATACGAAAATGTGGTCCTTGTTATTTTCGTTTGTGCCCCTCTATTCTTTTATGCACTCTATAATTATGACTACCACCCTTGGCACTCTGTCCAGTTATTATAATGTATACTCAATGATGTATACGCTATAATCTCATCTGATTGCTACATCATCAGATTGCTCATCTGGCAAAACATCTCATACCTGAAATTAGGAATTAAGCTCCCAGTCCCAACTCTCGCTAATATTCGCTTGCACGTGGCAATTACTATATACCTGTTATAATGACCTTTACTCTAAGCAAATATCGAGGGGGCACTTTGCCAGCTGAGGTGTTTCTTCCACCTTCTTGTATGACTGCAAATAATGTCCCATTATATTCCATTGTAGCTTTGCGTACTGTCAGTGTAGACATTGAAGTATTGCCAGTGATTTCCACATCGGTGCGACCATAATAATATGACAAAGAAGGGAAAGGAAACCGTATTAATGCTAAATCCACGTTTTTAAGTCGCCAAATGCATATTTCCACTACTGCAGGCGGAGTGCACTCATACATGGCGGTGACAGAAAAGCTTGATCCCAGTGGAATATTTCTGGTGTAGTTAGTTTTGCCAGTCATCTTACAGGAATCTACTGGAACAGATTATAAAAATAAAAAGCTACAATATACAATACAATCAACATAATCATCCTCTAGCCCAAGAATTGTTAACAAAGATTTATGCAATGCTTTATTAATTTTTTTCCCTTATTCACGTACATTGGAAGGTATATTGTTCCATATTTTCACTCCAGATCTCACAAAAGAAGCATTTAATTTTTTTAGTCTTGAATATTCAATGTAAAAGTTATTAGATGCACTATGCCTAGTCTTATGGGTATGAATATTTCTGGACCGATTAAAATAATCGGAAATTGTTGATGGACAAGAGCTGTTAGAGACGTCCTACATTAAATTACAAACCGATTTATAATAAATCATATTGATAAATCGATAAAACGTTTAAATTAGTGAAGAGATGCATATATGGTTACGCTATATTTAGCGTAACCACTAACCTTCCTACTATATAAAAGATTTCGATAAACATCCTAGTATGCATGACTTTGGCCTATTTAATTTAAATACGAACACTGAAAGTATTAACTTAAATCATCAGCTTTACAAACTCAGTATTATTCACCTCGTAAATTTAGTAATTTAAAGAAATCTCAAACGAATTATTTTACTGATACCAGTTTTTCGATGCTATACACAATAACGTGAGGAGCTTGAAACGTAATCTGGAAGATTTCCAAACGCATTTATTATCTCAGCTTAATTTTAATTTTAGCGTCATGCATGGGTATTACTGAAACTAAGATTAGAGATAGTAAGTTTTCTAATTTTAATCCTGAGATACCTGGCTATAATTTTGAAATCTTGAATAAAATTAACATTATAAAATGGTAATTCACGTAAAATTAACTTGTTCAATTAAAGTATCTCTCTTATCAATAACAGGCATTAGTATAATTACATAGGTGATTATTGAAAATTCTCCACGCTGATTGGTTGCCGTTGAGGTGATTATTACGCGATAATCACCTGCTTATTTTCAAAATGGCGGCCGAAGCCGTTTTGTCAATTAAGTGACAAAGAAATGTGCATTTTAAATTTTTTTCCAAATAATCACCTATGAAATCATACTAAAACAATTATTCACCTCAGGCTCGGTGATTATCGTGAATAAAAACCTCGACTTCGTCTCGGTTTTTATTCACCGATAATCACCTCGCCTTCGGCGAATAATTGTTAATTATTAATCATAAATATCAGAGAACACATCCAAAACATGGTCACACTATTGCGTGTCGTACTAGCGTATGAAAAATATCACTCATACGCCGGTATACGCTGACATACGCTAGGGGTACGTTAGGCATAGGTTTTATATATACGTTTCAAGCACGGTCGCATGCGGTGCATGGCATACGGCGTGGCAGAAATTTTTGTTAAGCATGCTCAAAAATTTTGTGCGTATTCGGACGTATGCTTTATACGATAAGCATACTATAGGCACACGCTGAATACGCTAGAGGTACACCAGATGTACGGTACTCATACGCTGGCATTTCAAAGGATTTTTGTGCGTATGAAAATTATTTCATTAATTTTCATACGCTTCTCATATGTTTCTCTCATACGTAATAGTGTGACAGGGCCTTTATATATTTTAGAAATCTGTAGTTTTGTGGTTAAAAGTGTAAAATATTAATTTATTTTTGCCATGACGCGAGCAACGCGAGCCTTCAAAAAAATGTCTATAGTTGTTTAATGTTAACCAAATTTTAAAAAATATTTAAAAAAGCAACAAGAATTCAAGTTTACGAATCCCGGACACATGTAATTGTACAGTTAGGAAATAAAATTCGACAAGTATTGCGTATAATCCTGCGCATTAATTATTTTCCTATACAGGATGTATCAGACAGAAAAAGCGAAATCCTGATTCAGATTCAAATATAAATTTTGAAAAGGGTACTACAGCAAAACGTTCATGTTTGGATTCAATTCACTTTTATTAAAGCTTAACGCTGAAAGTAAGCCTGCGTATTGAGATACCTCGTCTACCTATGATCTTTTAACATGCTCCTTCCAGCTGATGGATTTTACTTTTAGCCTAGATCAAAATTTAGTCTATATAGCTGGAATCATCTACTGAAGAACGATGACGTCAGTGTCATAATTAATTATCACTGAAATTCTGAAATTGCCATTTACAGCTTTTATTATATACATGACAAAATTACTGCAATCTGATTGGTTAAGAGGAGTGCAATTATTTCATCAATTGCACTCTCCAGGAGTGCAATTAATGATTTTCGTGATGGCTGGGGGGAGCGGGAAATCAAAACAACAAAATCCAATATGGCGGCGAAATTTAGATAAGTATTTCTAACAAATGTAGACGAATTTAACTGAATTTTGGCACAAGAATGAGTTTAAGAAACATTGTATGGCAAAACGAACATGTGGAAAATACCTGGAAACAGTCTTAAGAAATAATCTTGGCGGGATGCAGCGAAACGTGACTATGTAAGTTTGAAATACAATTTATAAAGATTTTCTTCGTCTAAAATATGTTGTTTGAGTTTGAATCTTGTGTTCTAGTTTAAGTTATGTGCCTTTATGAGTTTATAATCATTTCTCAAGTTTGTTTATACCAAATTTCTTGCAAAAGAATTAAAAACTCTTGACAAAATGCAGTTGAAATATAAAGAAAGCGATTTTGTCATGCATATAATAAATAAATAATCACACGGGCAAGTCGTGCAATTAATGATTAACACTACTCGTGATATTTGAAAAATGTGCCAAATTGCACTCGCCTCGGCGGCTCGTGCAATTTTGGCACATTTTTCAAATATCACTCGTAGTGTTAATCATTAATTGCACTCCTTCCTGTGTGATTACCTATACTAAATGCATGCTGCAAATCCTTTAAATAACACAATGAAATCTAATTTTCAGTGAGGTTTGTCACATAATAAAAATCGTATTGAATAATTTGACTATAATCCTGCCGAGCACTTACTATTATCTCGCATTTTTCCTTGTCATTTCAGGAGCTTGGAAAAATGCGTTCGAAACTCGTAAAATATTCGGAAAGGTCATACCAGACCATTTAATAAGACATAATTATTTATTGGTTAATTCCAATCTTCATTTTACAAAAAGAGTTTTTTCTTACCAAGTTGACCTCTGATTTCAGACAATGTTAATAGAAGTCCAATGCATGTTGAAAATTTTCCATAATTGAAAACCAACGCCATGTTTGAATGTTTCAATCCACGTTAAAGCTAAAACAGTAAAAGGTAAAAATTCAATATATCACATATTTAATATTATTAATAACGATTGGCTGACAAGAGGACACGATACGGTCTCCCGCGTTTTGCGCCAAACCAAAACGGAGTGCAGACAATTTTCAAACTCAAAAAAACTACCCAGAAAATTTAAAAACTCACCCTAACGATACAAAAGATAGGAAAATAAACTAAATTTACTCCGATGCAGTTCGTATCAAGCCTGAAATGTACTTTACTCAGACCAAAATGCGAAAAAATAAATATTTCTTTTACTGAAACATCGAAAAAGCTGTGGCTGTACTATATTTCGCATATAGATATTAGAACAAATTCAATATTTCAATTCATCCTCAAACTTTTTTAAATACCTTAGTGGACAGATTAAACAAGAGTTCTGGACTCCACTCGTTTAAATATTTTTAAAAAATGTTGTAATAAACATTTGAAAATGTTTTCCCTAAGTAAAATTCCTGGCTGCATGTTAAAAGAACAATTTTCAAGCAAGTCATTTTTGTAAAATGAGGAGGAAAATAAATCATTTTAATCTGTTTACCTTCTTTATTGTTTTGTTAGTTAAGCAGAAAAGTGTCGATTGGATCAAAACCAAAGCCTTTTTACGGAGTTTTTTAGCAGTTTGTCAACCGTGCTTCAGCTACGCCACGAATGAATAAAAAACAACACTGATCTCAAATATGATTTACGTATAATTTAACACAATAAAAACTCTTTGCTATGTGGTCAGTTGAACCATTTTTACTCGAACGATAGTGTGAGTTTGACTAATTTGTAATTTGACATTTTGTGCAGTTCTTCTACTTTATGCTATTAGAACTAAGTTATTTTAAATTCCCAGGAGCAGGGAATTTACAAGGATATTTTAATTTCTAATATAACAAGGATATTTTTATTTCTTTTTATAATATCCGTGGGTTCAGCATAGTGCTCAGGTATTCAAATTATAACAAAAGGATGATTTCTAAAGGTTTCTTTTTTTTAGACACCCTGCATTTAGGTCGGAAGAAAGGCTCGACACCAAATTCATGGAAGTCAGTTCAGCTCACTTTTTCACCTTTAGTATCAATACGAGGGGTTTGTGGTGTAGGTTGGTTAGACAGGGAAGGGTTGTCAAATGGTACAGATAGTTTAAGATAGTCGAAGTGTGTCAGGGTTATCAAATGGTGAAGATGGTGCTGATGTATGATGGTGGAAGTGTGTCAGATGGTTGTCCGATGGTGTAGGGTGGTTAGACAGGGAAGGGTTTTCTGATGGTGAAGATGGTACAGATGGTGTACGATGGTCGAAGTTTGTCAGATGGTGTATGATGGTTAGATGGCACAGATGGTGTCAGATGGTCGAAGTGTGTCATTCGGTGTAGGATGCTTATACTACGTTTCTATATTTAATTTACATTAACCTCTTGAATTATTAATAACAAGACGCCTGCTCAGGCGTTCACACTGACCTGAAAATGACGACATGCATGCTATGGTGCAGTAGACAAGAATACAAGTCGTAAACAGCAAGCAAATTGTATGGATTTTTTTAAAATATAGAAGACCTTTTTGGGAGACCTATGCCCTATGGTGCAAATCTATAACTAGGAGTTACTATCGCAAGGAAAGTGCTGCCTTTTTGCCACATGAACTGAATGCAAACGTTTGTATTTCTAAACAATTCTCTAAAGGGAAGTTTACTTTTGACCCAATGGCATCATTTCCAAGTTTCATCATTGGTAGAATGGCAGGCCTGCACATGAAGGTTATATCCCCTATGTTTCGTGCACAAATTTGTTTCTCGTTCATCATTTAAGCAAGTGAATTTTAAGGTCTACTAATCTATTAGCTGGCAACACACGCTACTTTCAGTAATAACTAATAGACTAACGCCAGACAAATTTACACCGTGTACCGCCAGACGATTTTACTTGTCAGTGGTAGAGTACTGTCAGTAAATGGTTTAACAAACACATCTGCCAATGTATTTTATTAACCCATTAGCTGACAATGCACCCTACTTTAGTATTTACTGTCTATCTACTTTAGTATTTACTGTATAGACAATTGCACTGCCAGCAAAGTACTGCCTGTAAATGGGTTAATTTCGCGTCACGCCCCAATTCAAATTTTTCGATTTTTATTGTTTCTAATTATAAATATCTCAGCGAGCATACCCCCCCCCCCTCTCCCCCTCCCCTTAAAACGAAAAGCTTTATATGTTCGGCGAAATGTATGACTAGTTTACATTGTCCCTTATATTATGAAATATGATACCATACCTTACTTGTATTAAAATTCGCGTCGAACTAATGTTATTGTATTATAAAGCAAATGAGAACCATACAATAAATGTTTTAGTCCTTGTTGGTATTTTGAACGCACGCTTTATCTTTACTGTAGCGCTAGCTACCACAAAGCTTTTCGCGCGGATTATATTTCGCGCAGTACTAAAATTTGCGCACCCAGCGCTACACGAATTCTAGTACTGCGCGAATTTTAGTACATGTTCGTAAGATGTATTGTTGACATTTGGCTAAAACTATCGTAAGGAATTAGGAGATTTTGTTATATGAAAACTACGTTGTGTAGTCAAACTGTCAACCTTAACTTGTCCTTGTTTATATTCCACTATATTGTATAAATTCGCTGGGTCGAAATATTGGGGTTTTCGAGTCGTTTAATAAAAAAAGAAAAGCATTAATTCAACACGTAAGAAAGTCCAGAGTGCGACACAAAGATGAACACAAGTACACAACGGATGTTTATGAGTCTATAACGTATATTTATAGTTGTTCATTAAAGTCAAACTGTCAAACCTTTAACTTGTCCTTGTTAATTGTATTCCACTATAGTCTATGTTCCATTATATTGTATATTAAAATTCGCTGAGTCCAAATTTTGGGGTTTTCGAGTCGTTACACAAAGAATTAATTCATCGTTACATTAATTCAACACGCAAGAAAGTCCAGAGTGCGACGCAACGTAAAATTGATAGGAAACCAGCACAACTCTTTGAAAATTCAACGAAACTGTGTGAAATATATTTTGATCACTCAGCCAAAAGCTGCCATTTTGAAACTGGACTGAATATGTCACCCTTGGAATTCGGAATTGTGCGCGTGTGTACAAGTCAATATATGGGCTGATAAACGAAAAATGTACCACAAGCATGGCATGAGCCGGTTATTACGTACATAAATGCGAACTTGTTACTATGATATATAAATCGTGGAATCGAAGAAGCAATGGCATTTTGGCTTAATCCTTGCACCCTGAGCCTGCGATGCGCTAACGCAAACTCGATTTCTCGACGACGAAAACAGAAAACAGAAAATTAGGGATTTAAAACACTTGACCTTTCAGGTCAGTGTAATAACACGAATTAAAATTTTTGTTTGGGGTGATCAGCGTCGCGATTGCGGCGCGCCGGCGTTGACAGAGAACTCTTTATTGTTACTGTAATAACACGAATTAGGTTCGATAGATTTACTGTATACAGGCGTGATGTTTGAACTGTATTCTATATAAGCGGACTCGTTCAAATTTCAAAATAAGTATAGCTGCAGTGCTGCATGAATAGTTTCTTTGATATTTACAACTGGGAATCGGAAATCTCACATTGTCAACAGGATGTTATATTTTAAAAAACCCTGTAATTTTACATTAAAAAGTACTGGGAGCTGGGACGCCAGAGAATGTGCTGTAATTGTACATAAATTGTTTTTTAACCGAACACTGTATTTATACCGTACAAAGGCTGTAACAGATTTCTTTTCAAACATGGTCTATTGCACCATAACTTGCAATTACCTTGACAGTGTACTTACTGTAAAAGATTAGGTCAAACACATTTATTTTTAAATACATGCAAGTCAATTTTACCGTAATTTACAACAAGACGTCTGCTCAGGCGTTCAAACTGACCTGAAAATGACGACACATCGTGAACCGCAAAGCGTGAAAGCGTGGCGCAATCCTCAGGAGATGTTTTCGTAATGTCCAATGAAACACAAGTATAACTCACAAATACAAACGTTATCCATAAATGCACATTGTCTCTGAGCATGCGATGCGCTAACGCAGACAACATTGTTTACATTCCCTGAGTCCGTATTAAACGTATATACCCAGCCAGCTTCCAAGAAAGTGCAGAGTATAGGAGATATCCAAAATCCACAGAAAAGCGCGGTAAAATTCGTTGACAAATGAATAAATTGTTTGAGACTGAAATAGTCACTCATTGAATGGCCGCCATCTTCAAAACTGATCTGTATAGTAAGCTGAAACGACTGGAACACTGGAATCTGAGCCTGCGATGCGGCTAACGCAAACTCGATTACTCGACGACGAAAAAAAACAGAATAAAAAATCGCTCTCGAAATTGCCTTGTTAATACAAAACTCTACAGCTGCATTGTTTTGGTCTAAGTATAAATCGTCACTAGGTGGAAAGCGTTTGATAACAAACTTACAGTTACAACCTTACAAATTAATAATGGTAATTGCAATGAGTGGAGTGCAATTTGGTCTGAAATCTTATCCCATACCTATATTAAAAGCGACTTTCTGATTGGTTTAGAGCAGGTTAGCTTGTCGTCGAGCTCACCTGCTTTTTGCCGAACTCACCTGCTTTTCGCCCGAACTCACCCGCTAAACTGCTTACGTTGGAATAACAATAACAAATATGGCGGACAAGATTTAGCCGATAAACCTACTTTAAAGAACTTTTTTCGGTGACTAACCTACTGAGACTGAAGAAAAACCAAAGAAAAAATGCAATAAAGGTAATCTAAACGTAGATAAAGAAATGTTAAGAGCCCATTCATTTTTTTGGCCGAGAAAATGTTGACAAAACATCGACGAATATATCGCAAAGAGCTACAATGTCTACAATGTGCATGGCTCGGTGTATGGGGTAAAAATCAAACATATATACTTGCAGGTTCGGTGAGTCCGGGATTGGACGCACCTCGGGTGGCTGGAAGTTTCGCGAACTCACCTCGTTTCGCTCGGTAAGTTCGGGAAACTTCCAGCCACCCGAGGTGCGTCCAATCCCGGACTCACTTCCCTGCAAGTTTATGTTTGTTATAAAACGCGTGATTTAGCCTGCGAACAGGCTCTCAAGTTGAATTGAGAGCCTGCATCGATGACTAATGAATTTGAATATCTGCGTCTCAAATCGTGACGCGAAATTCTCATTGGTCCGATGCTATAATTTATATGTTTCCGCTGAGCTCTATATATGTCAACTGCTGAACTATGAGTAAAAAACACATTAACTGATCAAATTGGTCTTGACCATCTTATCTCAAAGCATGAAATGTTCTGTTTTGAGAAAACAGTATTGTTTTGAGAAAACAGTATTTAAAACATTTAAACTTCTGCTTGAATATCTTATATTTCGAAAAACAGTATAAACTGTACGGTCTAAATTTAGTTTGCACGGTCTAAATTTAGTTTGCACGAAAGTTGTAAACAACACCATATAAGGATAGACATTCCATATTTGGAAAAACGAACGTTACGGGGCAGATATTCAAAATTGTATATCATCAGTGCAGGCTCTCAATTCAACTTGAGAGCCTGTTCGCAGGCTACGCGTGATTACAAAATCGTAATTGCGAAGTGCAGTTTCCACTTTATTTTGAAATTTAATTTTAAACAATTTTGTAGAACGGAAACACTTCTTTGTTTACGAAAGACACCTCCCCCCGATATTCCCTAAATGACGTAGCGTAGCAACAAACGAACAAGTTGATCTCTTTCTTTAAATCTCGAAAAGTTTTACCAAAAAAAGGAAGAAATTTATGCATACTGTGACTAAAAGACAATCAATGTAAGTCTAAACATACTATAGGTTTTATTAGCAATTTGATAGGGTTTTGGTGCGCTTTTGTTCATGCAAACATCAACAAATTATACGATGTACGAATTATTTTGTTTAGTTATTATGCCTGTCACTTTTATAAGTTGCTTTTTGTTCGTATTTTCGCCATGTTTCACAAAGATTTTGTTCCTGATATGCCCATAATTATTTGTGAATTGTTTAACCGTTTAAGCCATGGTGGCCACGTTGGTGTTCCAGACAAAAGAGTCTAATTAAAATTCTTTTGAATTGGAACACCATGTTGAACATGGCGGCTGTGACGACATGTGCAACGCTCTATAATCAATCTATAAACAACATAATTATGTAGCTACCGTTTATCAATTTATATTGTTCTCAATCTACATCACGTTATAGTTCAGTAGCGGGTTGGGGGTCTGGAACGTAGCTAAAAACCTCGAGGTTAATTTAAAGAAAGTTTATTGTAAATAAGTTGGAAGTTGTTTTTTCTGTGTGCGTTTCGAACAGTCCAATGTTAGTGACAGTCATTTAAGTACTTCGAATTGGAGTTATGTTTACTTTACTTTATTTAACAGTAATATTGCTATTATTGTAATTTGTTTCAATAGAAAACCACACACACACACACACACACACACACACACACACACACACACACACACACACACACACACACATATGACACAACTAAAATTAAATTTCTTTTTAAATCATTTTCTTTGCGTGTTTAATAAATGTGGTTTGTTTGTGTTAGCTATTTTTACTTTTAGCAATTCAGTATTTCATAACAATGATGCTGCACAGGAGTTTAGGTTTTTGTCGAGGATGGGAGGTCGAGTGTGGAAAGTCGAGTGTCGAGGGTCATTAATCAAAAGTCGAGGGTCGTATTTTTAAAATATTTTGGTTTCTTTATTGTCCAATTTTTTTTTTTTGGGGGTAGAAATTTGCGGGCAAAATAATTTGCTTAATGTTGTGGCATGGACTTATCAGCCGCCATCGGCAATGGCAATGTATTTCGGCAAAATAAATATAGCGCGTGTTATGTACACGGCAAAAAACGCCGAGCCCGTTGCTCAACAGGACTGAACAATGTTTTGCTGTCCACGTTGTTCATAGCTGTCAACAATATTGAACAATGTTGTTGAGCCTGAATCGGGTGTAACAATATTGTTCAATATTGTTGACAGCTATGAACAATGTGGGCAGCAAAACATTGTTCAATCCTGTTTTCATCAGTATTGCATCAACCTGAGCGTTTTTATGCGTGTAAACAAGTCCTGATTCAATAGACAAAACAATAGTTTGCTACTTGCATTCCGAGACAACGTAGATAATGCACCACACACGTTTGAAATCTCAACTGTAGCTTTTGATTGGCATTTATAAGTAGTATTTAAAGAGGCTGTGAAGTCTGCGTTCTGCTCATGCGCGTGTTTTTTTTTTCACTGATTTTTTCTTTCAAACAGTGTATAATTTAATTAAAATTTCGATCTGTGGGCCGGCAAGCTAGCTCATTACGCATTCAGAATATATCACGCAAGGAAAAATTGAACTAAAGCAAAAATGTAGCCCCAAAACAACACGTTTTAAATCGAAAATGCTAGACACGCTAAGAAGCGCTTTTTACAGAGGTAAATATATGGACAGAACTTGACTGAAATTTGTACAAAATTAGCTCCAAAACAACAAATTTAAGATTGAAAATGTTAAGAAGCACATCTTTATACAAGGGTATGAAACATTTTCGTTTCACCCGCCATTAGGGTGAGGGGTTAGGTGACTCCGGTTGGGGGTTAGAGTGGGGGGGGGGGTGAGGGTCAGGTTATCACTTATCAATATACATCATATATAAAAGCGCACATGTATGACAACATACATCATAGATCTAAGTATGATGATATACATCATACAAATGAAGAGACTGTGTTGGTGAAAATTGTTATGGGTGCTGAAGCATCCCAATTCGCTTTAGAAACTGCTGCAACTTTTCTTGCAGTTCCAGTTCCATGTACCCCAGGGCCTATACATGAAGGTTGTGGATGGCCATGAGGCCCTGGGAATGAGGATGCCTCAACATTGGACCCTCGATACTTGACAAAAACCTTAACTTGTTACACAGTGCTCATGAGCATAATTGATATTATGATGAATTTGATGACAGTACATTCTGTAGTCCTGGCATACTATTTAGAGATACATGTAGTTACACTATACATCTGATATTAGACTAAATGTGATTAAAGCACTGGAGATATTATCTGTCACCATCTCCTTTTATTATAAAATGGTTATAAAGTGTCTTCACAGAGGCGTGAGAGTGGCTGTAAAAGTGGGGGAGCACACTTAGCGCCCAGTGAAGGCAGGTGATGGCATGTGACATTCTAGGGGGTCCAGGGGCATGCCCCCGGGAAAATTTTAATTAGAATCTCTCAAATGCTATTTTCTGCACTTTAGAAGGAGATTTAAAGAGTTCTGAAGGTATGGTACCCTGGATTCCAGAGCCTTCAACAGTAAATAATAAATTGAAACGTCGCGAAGGCTCTGGTTCAACAGGGAGATTATTTGATTAAACCACGCCAATACAAAACAGAATTAGTGGTTTTAGTACAGAATCTGTAGGCTAAAAGTATGTCATAAAATATCTCAAATTATTTTGTCTACACGCTTCACTGAAATAATATCATTAAACTTTGTGGTTTATTACTGAACATTGTTAAAAAGTGGGGGGGGCAAAGACAATTAGCCCCCCCCCCCCCAACTAAAAAAGTGGAGGTCCGGGCCTGTACCCAGAATGAACGCCTGAACCGACATCTTGTTAGTATAGATAATCATAGGAATGGGGGGGGGAGTGGAGGGGGGGGGGGGCAGATGCCCCCAGTCAAAATTAAGTCAGGCAATTATAAACATAATTTGGGCAAACATTTAGGGAAATAACTTTAAATAGAAGACATATGCAATATAGTATTTGAAAATACCAGAAATATGTAAAAGTAGTAAGAAATAGGAAAAAATTTTCTGGCACAATGGGAAAAAAGTAAAAAAGTCAGGTAAATTTCTTTCTCCCCCTGATTTTCTTCCTCCCATACATCTCTAGAGTATGGTTTCGCATGCAATTTGGGAAAAAAAATGCACAAATGAGTTTTCCAAAGGCTATCAAAATTGCACGAATCCGAACAACATTTGAAAAATTCAGGAGTGTATGTTTTTACAAATTCCATGAGAAAACCATACTATTAGTTATTAATAATATACATGAAAAAAATATGCAATTATGCAATTAGAGATTACAAAATTAAGAAAATTAAGAAATTTGAAAAATAAAAAATTAAGAAAATTAAGAAATTTGCACTGTATTTCATTTTTTTCCACTGTATTTCGAAAAAATTGCACTGGTCTTTGCCAATTAGAATTGAGAAATTTTTTCATGTATATTACTCTATTGAACACACAATTTTGATTGGTTATATGTTTACTTTACAACTTCACTTGTTTATAAAAAACATTGCCCTAAATTACAATGGGCCCACATTGAATCAGGTTTGCATGATACACACAATAATGCTGCATTCTTACATAATACAGGCAATATCAAACAGCGGGGTACGTGCCTATTTTATCTCTGAGTTCGTGTGTTCGACTCGTGTGCTACGGACTCGTGTGAAAACTGAAGAGTCAGTTCTCTTTTCCAACGCTAGGCTTAAAAATCGTGTCTTTTCTCCGGGTGATCCAGAGACTGGTTGGGTTAGAATAAACACAGTTAAGAAAGTAATATCACAATTGTTGGAAAGATAAAATAGTCCAGGCTAAGTATGTAAATTTTAGGTAAGCGTATAAATACCTGTTGCATTTGATATAAATACTTGCGCCATAAGTATAGTCTATAGAAATGCTAATCGTAATCGTGATCTAGTGATTTCTAGCTACTACAATCTATATAGACTACTTTCTATATAAATATTTTGTATATAATACCTCACACATTCAAGCTGTATTTTCGTTTCCATCAACAATAAACACGTAATAGTTATATTTAACCAATTGTTTAATTACTCGATTCAAGCAAGGGGCGTTCCAATCTCGTTCCCAGAGTATAGGATGCCTGTTCGCGGGTTTATGTACCGCGAACAGGCATACTCTGGGAACGAGATTGGGGGCGTTCCGACCAAATTACTCCACCAGCTCATTTAGGGCGGTTTATGCAGGGTTGGTAGGTTAGATGAATAATTAGGCCAAATGGCCCAAATCGTCATTAGTGCCGTTTAGAAAACAAAGAAAACAAAAGGCCAAGACAAAGAAAACAAAGGCCTAGAGTGACGGTGTTTGGCATAATTATTCAGCAAACCTACCAACCCTGGGTTTATGTAACCTTTCTGTCTTTTCCTGAATTTCTTTGGCCTATATATTTTGCATTGCTCGCCTCTATATATAGAAAGGTAAAGGCTCTCACTACCAGCCCGATCGCATCGCCTTCAAAGTCAAATATCTCAGCTCAAACTTGTCGTACAGCAAAAAAATTCTATCAGGTCTTTTAAGGCTTTTAACAAAGGTTTCTCTTTTCTAACAAATGTCGTTTGATCATAGCACAGGCAAATTTAGTAACGAACGGAGCCAAAATCTCTCTTTTCACTATTTTCGGCAATTTTCTACATTGGTTCCAGATCTAGAGGCCTTTGCGAGGCGAAAGAAACGAAATGCGAGAACGGAAAGCCTCTGGTCTCATCGATTGCAAATCCCACTTCCACACTTGATTAGGGACTGTTCATTATTTACTATACAGAGGGGGCCTGAGGAGAAATATCGCGAGGTAATATTTGTAACAACACCCCCTTTTAAAGACAATCAAAGCTTCCTCCCACCTCTAAAGACAGCAAAATATATTCTGAAGCCCCCCC